TGGTTATTTACTTTGAACTCTGGAAATATATTGGATCATAATTACTGGAAAGTCTTTCAAATGATCCAGAGGGGAACTGGTATATTTAATTCCTTCCCAGGGCAGGGGGTCGGACCTGATGATTTGCTTAGGTCCCTTCCGACCTCAAGTACTATGATACTATGAATTGTTTTGTATTATATTTACTAGTATTAATTTTTTTACTACTATGTTATGTCATTTTCTTACATCTCATATTTAAATATCAACAACAGTAGAAAAGATTATAATGACTTTGCTGTCCATACATGCCATGTATATATTTTAAATCACAAAAAAAGAAGATAAAAATGTCAGATCATTTAATACCATTCTTTTTTGTACCATGCACATAGGAATCTATATTTTATAAGTAATTGGGTGCAGATTCTACCTCTCTACTCTGAATAGCTCCTTTCTCTGTGATAGGATCTTACACCTGTGGTACAATGTTAATTTTACCTTGCTGAAATATCGTTTCTTCAGTTTTGTACACACCTTTTATAGAGTTGGTTGTCATAATACTACTCTTTGCTGACATCAGTTAGGCTGCTTATGAAGGTAACACTCATTGTGAGGAACAGCAAAAGAATGGGGTCCTTAATGATTTTTATATTTTGGGTCATTTTATTTCTGTGTTACAGTTTTTCTTATGGAAAGTTCCACTACTTAAAAAAATCTACTGAAGTCAATGGGACTGCTCACAATACTAAGGTCTACTGGTATGATCAATGTATATGTAGGAACTATTTGCAAGACAAGGTCATAGAACACAGAACAGCCACCCTTTCTTAAAAAGATATAGAGCACAAAAAATCCAATTACAAAATTCTGAATTTATAAGGAAATAGCTCGGATATATGGAAAAAGTAATTAAATTAAAGTGTATTTTCAGTAGTAAATCGGAGTAATCATTGGCCTCTGAAATGTGTAGGGTTTATTTTCACATAAATTTGTTCAAATAACAAGTAAAGAAGTTTTAACAGTTTCAGACATCAAATATAATAAGTAAAGATGCTCAAAAGTTAGAATTTAATAAACCCTAAGTGGAAATGACATTTTAAATGTCACAGCCAAAAAATGACAGAGGCAATGACACACTGAAGGTCATAGTTAGAAAGTAACATTCAGAAATATAGACAGCTGAATAGGATGCTATTAGTACATAACCATTAGAAGAGAAGAAAAAGGACTTTTGAACTTAGGATGTCAAAAAGGGTTTAAAAGAGAAATGTAAGAAATAAGAAAACACGGTTTTCTGGAAAATTAACAAGTCACTCTGATTAGCTGAGAACTTCAATTAATTTAAAATTATGTTAGTTTGGCATCCTCTCTGTCAACGGTGTTTTTCCTGCTTCAAATATGTTACTACTTCTATTTATCCTAAAATGATTCAACATACCCATTGCCTCTGCCAGGCCAGAAACCTTTTGTCCATATATGTCTGTCTTATTCCAGGCAAACGTGTAGACCAGGTTGGTAGCAGCTGGAAACCACTTCTGAAGTAGACGTCCTTCAACAGCAACTATTAAATGCACTTTTGTCATTCCAGCAGGAATGGCTGCATGCGTTAAAATAATACGCAACAAAGTTTTATATCCAGGCGTCCGACTGCTCAGATAACTGAGCTTCACAAAACTGGAAGGAATTGGGATTTCTTCCTGGACAACCTTGGTAGGGGAGAAAAAAGAATCAGTTGTATATACCGTTGTTAATAATATTCCTGGCTTGGAATAGTGCTATTTTTATTGTTCTCATCAAATGCATAGGCTTTTTTATAACTCAGTTCTTGATGTGGGCAGGGAATACAGGCTTCACTAAAAACTGATTTCCTTGACCTGTTCTCAAGTCTGTATCAGGAATAAGGGAAAACCATCAATAACATCCAAAGCTGCTCTAAAAGAATGTCCTGCGGGATGACAGTGCGTATACTTTTCTAAGTAACAGCCTTCTTTTCAAATTTTTGTCTCCAGCACATATACCATATTTCACGGTGTAGAAATCGAGGTTTGAACCCCCCAAACTTACCCTTAAATTTCCACCTCGGCTTATACGCCATATATGGGCTTCAGGGAAGTTGGATTGGGCCCGTGGGAGGTTGGACAGCACCCAGCCAGCTAACAGCCTGACTGGCCGGGTATGGGACAGCACTACTGCCATGGGTGGAAGGACCAGGCCCCCCTGCTATTCAAGGACTGCCTGGCCCACCAGGAGCTTGCCCCCTGGCTGCAGTGGGGGGGTGGGGAACGGCAGGCTCTGCCAAAAGCAGGATTGGGTCTCTCTCCACTTCTGCCTTCAGACCAGTCTTTTCTTTTGCAGTGGTGGCAGACCCTGGGCAGGCTGCTAGCAGGCTGGGTGCTGCCTGACCTCCCAGGGGCCCAATCCAACTTTCCCAGAGCCCACCAGCATGCGATGTTGACTTATACACCGTGAAATATGGTAGATAGATACATGCATGCAATATTACCTTGCCTTAAGTTAGTACGCACTGGATAAAGTTTGCAAAGACAGTTATATCCAAGAGCACTATAGCTGAGTGAATCTACCCAGCTCATTTTCCCTAGAGCTGCTCATCGACTTTGGGGAATGTATGCCACTTTCTTTACTTCGTTAATTTTTGTTCCCTAATATCATTAAATAAATACATATTTTTAACTTAATACAGACCATATTGCATCCTTAAGGCACTGCCCAGCTTTGAGTTTAAAGTGGAATTGTCCCAATTCATAGTTTCATAGTTTCATAGATTTAGGGTCAGAAGGGACATAGTAGATCTTCTAGCCCGACCCCCCGCCAGGGCGGGAGAACAACAAAACCCCAAAACAAAAACGGGACTCAAATGAGTCCAGCCAGGTAGGCATCCAGCCTCTTCTTAAAGACCGCCAGGGTAGGGGCCAGCACCACTTCCCTTGGAAGTTGGTTCCAGCTCCTAGCCGCCCTAACTGTGAAGTAGTTCTTGCGGATGTCCAATCTATATCTCCTCTCCATCAACTTGTGCCCATTACTCCTTGTTATGCCAGCGGGCGCTAGGGGAAACAGGGTCTCCCCCAAACCCTTCAGGTCCCCCCTAGTGAGTTTATAGACGGTCACCAGGTCCCCCCTCAGCCTTCTCTTGTGGAGGCTGAATAGGTTCAGCTCCCGCAGTCTCTCACTGTAGGGTCTGCCCTGTTGTCCCCGGATCATGCGGGTATTATTGTAATAATTGTATAATTGTAGTAACAAAAATTATAACTTAGGGATAGTATCTTAGTGATGGAGCAGCTAGTTAGTCAGAGACAGACAGGGCACGTTTACTAGGGCTGTGCGAAATTTCACTGGTCATTTCCTTCTGGCACTGTTTCGACCAATTTTGAGGTCAAAACAGCAAAATTGGAATGAAACAAAGGCCATCAAAATAGCCTCAAAAAAAAATGAGGCTGGTCGAAACATTTCAAAAGTCGAAACGTTTCGACCACAGGCTGGGGATGGGAAGTCAGTCCAGCTGGGCTGACTTTCCATTCCCAGCGCAAGATCCAGCAGGGGGTGGGAAGGCAGCCCAGCTGGACTGTCTTCCACCCCCACCGTGATGTAGTGTGGGGCACAGGCAAGCAGCCCAGCTGGTCTGCCTCCTGTTCCCAGTGCGATCTAGTGCTGGGGATGGGAAGTCAGCCCAGCTGGGCTGACTTCCCATCCCCAGTGAAACTCGAAACACCATCAAAACAGTCTTTCTGTTTGGACAGAATGTAACGGAACAGCTGTTTTGACTCAAAATTAAATTTGATACGAAACACTGTTCTATCAAACCGTCGAAACTCAAGACGAAATGGAACGGTGTCATTTTATACAGCCCTAATGTCTACATGTGAATTTAAGTGCACCTAAATTGAATGCACATTAGTTTAATGCTCATTAAGAAGGTTTAGGCAAGTGTCTACAATCCAGAAAGTTTTTGGAGAGTGTTAGGGACAACTTCCTGGTGCAAGTGCTGGAGTGGCCAACTAGAAGCAATGCTTTTCATGACCTGCTGCTCACAAACAGGAAAAACTGGTGGGAAATTCAGCAGTGGATGGCAAGTTGGGCAGCAGTGACCACAAGATGATTTTGTTCTTCCTTCCTTTCTTCAAGATCCTGGAGAGCAGCAGAGTAAGGACCCTGGACTTCAGAAAAGCAGACTTTGACTCACTCAGGGAACTCATGGGCGGGATCCCCTGGGAAGCGACACTGAGGAGAAGAGGAGTCCAGGAGAGATGGCTGTATTTCAAAGAAGCCTTACTGAGAGTACAGGAACAAACCATCCTGATGCGCAAGAAGACTTTCAATTATGGCAGAAAACCAGCTTGGCTTAGCAGGGAACTCTTCAGTAAACTAAGTCACAGAAAGGAAGCTTGTAAGAAGTGGAACCTTGGACAAATAGATAGGGAAGACTATAGGAGCACTGCTTGGGCATGCAGGGATGAAGTCAGGAAGGCCAAAATGCAACTGGAGTAGCAGCTAGCAAGGGACATGAAGGGTAACAAGAAGGGTTTCTACAAGTATGTCAGTAGCAAGAGGAGGATCAGGGAAAGTGTGGGTCCCTTACTGAATGGCAGAGGCAACTTTTTGACAGAGGATGCTGAAAAGGCTGAAGTGCTCAATGCCTTTTTTATCTCAATCTTTACTGGCAAGGTCGGATCCCAGACTACTGCACTGGGCAGCACAGTTTGGGGAGGAGGTGAGCAGCCAACAGTGGCAAGAGAACAGGTTAGGGATTATTTAGAAAAGCTGGACATTTTCAAGTTTATGGGGCTGGATGGGATGCACCTGAGGGTGCTGAGGGAGTTGGCTGATAAGACTGCAGAGCCATGGGCCATCATCTTTGAAAACTCATGGCGATCAGGAGAAGTACTGGATGACTGGAAAAGGGCAAACATAGTGCCTATACTTAAGAAAGGACAAAGGAGAATCCAGAGAACTACAGACCAGTCAGCCTCACCTCAGTCCCTGGAAAAATAATGAAGCAGATTCTCAAAGAATCCATTTCTAAGACTTGGGGAAGAACGTGATTAGGAATGGTCAGCATGGATTCACCAAAGGCAAGTCATGCCTGACCAACCTGACTGCCTTCTATGATAAGGTGACTAGCTCTGTGGATGTGAGCAGACCCATGGATGTGATATACCTTGATTTTAGCAAGGCTTTTGATACTGTTTCCCACAACATTCGCACAGGCAAGCTAGTATGGAAGTTGGATAGAAAACTGGCTGGAGCATGGAGCTCAGGGGTAGTAATCCACAGCTCAATGTTTAGTTGGCAGCCGGTATCAAGTGGAGTGTCCGAGGAGTTGGTCCTGGGGCTGGTTTTGTTCAATGTCTTTATTAATGACCTGGAAGATGGCAGATAGTGCACCCTCAGCAAGTTTGCAGATGACACCAAGCTGGGGAGAACAGCAGGTATGCTGGAGGGTAGGGCTAGAATTCAGAGTGACCTAGACAAACTGGAGGATTAGGCTAAAAGAAATCTCATGAGATTCAACAAGGACAAGTGCAAAGTCCTGCACTTAGGATGGAACAATCCCATGCATTAGTACAGGCTGGGGGCTGACTGGCTGGGCAGCAGCTCTGCAGGAAAGGACCTGGGGGTTACAGTGGACAATAAGCTGAATATGAGCCAACAGTGTGCCTTGTTGCCAAAAAGGCTAATGACATACTGGGCTGCATTGGTAGGAATGTTGCCAGTAGGTCAAGGGAAATGATTATTCCCCTCTATTCAGCACTCGTGAGGTCACGTGTGGAGTACTGTGTTCAGTTTTGGCCCCCGCCCACTATAGAAAGGATGTGGATAAACTGGAGAGAGTCCAGCAGAGGGCAACAAAAAGGGTGAGGGGGCTGGGGGACATGACTTGAGGAAAGACGGAGGGAACTGGGCTTATTTAGTTTAGAGAAGAGTAGACTGAGAGGGGATTTAATAGCAGCTTTCAACTACCTGAAGGGGGTTCGAAAGAAGATGAAGCTGGACTGTTCTCAGTGGTGGCAGATGACAGAACAAGGAGAAATGGGCTCAAGTTGCAGCAAGGGAAGTTTAGGTTAGATATTAGGAAGAATTTTCTCACTAGGAGGGTAGTAAAACACTGGGACAGGTTACCCAGAAAGGTGGTGGAAGCTCCATACTTGGAGGTTTTCAAAATCTGCCCAGACAAAGCTTTGGCTGGGATGATCTAGTTGGGGATGGTTCTGCCTTGAGCCGGGGGTTGAACTAAATGACCTTCTGAGGTCCCTTTCGTCACCAATTTTCTATGCAGGTATCAAATGTAGATGCAAATAGCCCACATTTGCCCTTTTTAGTGCAGATTAAGGGCATGCACGTGTAGACACACACCCTTACTGCATATTAACTTAGGCTAATGCACATTTAAGTGTCACATTTAGATGCGCCCACAGAGGGTCCACCATAAAGTTCATTGATTGGTTCTTTTCATTCACATACGCCTCTGTTTATAGAACCCTATATGGATAGGGTTTATTGATCACTACACCAGTATAGAGGGAACTTATAATGGAAATGCACTTCTCTGAGCAATACAGGCCCTTCCAAAGCAATTGAGGGTATACCTGCACTGCAAATGGAGGCATGACTACTGTATCCCCAAGCTACCTTTAGTCTACCTTGCTCAAGTAACAGCAGGAGTGAGGATGCAGCAACCCGGGGAAATGATGTGCACAACTTAAGTGCCCAGAGAATGAAAGACTCTTCAAACTCCTGCTGCTGTTCCCCATAGCTCTTGTTACCTTAGCTATCCTGAGTAGATTACAGTACCTGCTTGCAGTGCAGACCTACTTTCTTTTGTGGGTGGAGGGAATGGGCAGGGATACGAGGCATGGCCTGGGCTGCTTGAGTGATGTAGGCCATAAGGGAGAGATTTACTTCTGTACTTCCTTGTGTGTCTGCTGTTGCGACACCCCCCATCAGGGGCAATGCAAGGGAATGCAGAAGCTGCTGGCATGCTCTATCACACATACATGTGCAAGTGCCATTCGCAAATGGATCCTGTTTAGCCAGCTGAAAGGCTGCAGTTGTGATTTCAGCATGCCTCTGATCACTACTAATGAGCCAATCTGTCACAATGCTAAACCAAAGCAATTTGGAAAAAGCAATACACATTGTGTTTGATTTACTTTTCCCAGTTTTTCCAGGCCATTTTTTGTTTTTCTAATAACAAATCATTTCAGTTCCAAATCCTTTCTCTTGCCATATTGCTACAGTAACACTGTCACAGAAATACTGCAGTACCACTGGAGGCCTGCCAGCACTTGTCGTTTCAACATATGAAATGCATTGTTGCCAGGGAATTCCTGGTCCCTTTATTGTTCCTGATTTGCAGTGTTCCCCTTTCCTCCTGCTGACATCCCAGCTGCCCCCTCTGTCACACATCTGACATCTTTCCTTACCCTCTAACAGGAGGTATTTGTGCATCAGTACATTCTAATATAACACCTTCCCTTCTCTTATTTTTAAAGGGACCTTCTACTACTGCCCTATAAAATTCAGCACCTAGAGGACCTTCAAGTGACCCAGCCAGAATATAAGTGAGAAGGCTTCTATACATAAAAAAAAAGAAATTACTGGGGCCCTTCCTGAGAAGTAATTCAGCATTTCAATGGCAAAAAATTGGATGAAATATATCCTTATCTACAAATAACCTCCAAAATATCTATGGTACAGAACAGCTTTGCTTTGGCATCATTTCTGGAATCCTAGGAAGTGAAAAACATCATTGTATTGTTGTGACCTTTTCCTATTTACATATGTCCATCAAATAATTTAAACATATCCCTCCAACTCACTGTGGGTTTGAACTTTTAACCATTAAGTTGAAAAAGCTACCATTGGTTTCAATCATTCATTCAGCTCGTTTTTGATTTTTTAGAACTTGCAAAATAATGACTTACACGTATAATGTTATTTGTGCATGCAAAACAAGAACCTATCTAAATATGCAATGTTTGTACACCGTTTTGGGTTTTTTGCACAAGCCAAACCTTGGGCCAAAATTTTTGGATGCAAAAAATTGAGAGTTCAAATGTAACAAGCAGGTCCATATTCCTTTGAGAGCATGGCCCATAGGGATAAAGTTCAACATTTGTAATTCGCAATACAATAAACAAGCTTTCCCATTCAAATTCTCAAACAAGAATGCTAACTAACTAAGATATAAACAGGGCTTAGAAGATGGCTCTGTTTTCTAGATTTTTTTTCTGTAAAAGAACATTTTACTATTTTGAAAATATCAGTACTACCTGTAGCTCTGGAATGACCGTTCCTCTCTCTGGACAGGACCCTCCAAATGCCGTCAAGGGTGAAGGCAGCACAACTGGATTTGGGCTGATAAAATTACTGATGTCACAGGAAGGTGCGTCTGATTGTGTTCTCTGCATGACAACTTTATCTACCACAATAAACCTATTCCAAGGCAACCACAGTGTCCTTTTCTCAGAAATGAATGGAGATCTGTCAAAAACCAGGGTAACAGAGATGCCTCCAACAGCCACAAGATCGAAACTGAAAAGACAAAACGAAATCTGGTGTCTTCTGCTGTTTCTATTATAACGTAAGCAAAACTTTCTGTACATCCCAATGAAAAAAACCCATACTCCCACCGTTCTTAAGATTTTGTTTGCTAAGAAAAGTAACTTCAATACTTTTCTGATTCCAACATGGAGGCCACGTTGTGCCTTCCCCTCTGTGGGTGCTTCTTGCATCTGTCATAAGAAGAATGTCATAATTTGCCCAATCTCCCCTTTGTGCTTACCCTAACTAGAGCAACGGGTACAAATCAGCTGTAACAACTGTGTGAAACCAGTTACTTCTTGCCTGTGTGCCAAGAAACCCCTAAGCCACAAAATGGCCGCTACTTAAACTTTGTTCATGTCCTGCAAGTGGAGAAAGTGGCCCTGGGGCCTGATCAGCCTATTCTTGTGCAAATAAAAAGGAAGGAAAAAAACAAAGGAAATGAGGTAGGTTAGCAACCCCCACAGTCCAGCATGTAGAGGTTTTGGGAAAGGCTCCTGTTAATCCCCTGAATGTCACAGAAGGTCGTTATTTGAGATACTCAGGAAGCAGCTGTGAAGAACTCTTGGCAGATTTGGGTCCTACTACGCCGTGAGACAGAAGGCGAGCCACACACTGTCTTGGTTTTCTAAGTCTCCAACATCTACAGCCAAGTAACATAAGGTAATAGAACTAAGTACTAAACTCACTATATTATTAAATACTTATATTATGGAGGCCTTTGATGGTAACAAACTGTGATAAGAAGTCAGACATAATTATGCATATTCCATCACATTTCCCAAATGACACTGATTACACTCAGAGCAAAATACAGGGAGCAAATTTTAATGCGAGAGCTCTGCCAGGGATAGTGTAAATAAGAAATGATAATTAGCAACTTGCAACACCGCACTTTTAAAATCAAGGAAATGAGGTAAAATAAATATATGCTCTATTGTCATTAAGCTAGGGTCCCTAATCAGCAAAGGCTACATTTCCCCTAACTCCCTACCCCTTTTAGACGGGATGTTCCTATGTTCTTAAAATTTTACAATGTGGTAAAAGATCATGAAGTCTCCAAAACACCTTTGAGTTTGGGTTTGGGACTAAAGGGGTGGTTTGGAGGTCCCATTAGTGTTTTAAGGGCACATGATTGTCTTGAGCCCTGCTAGGGGCAGGTTCAAGGCAGAGCAGGAAGCCACAGTGCACCTTGGCTGTGGGACCAGCCACAGTAGCGGGGTGGAAGTTGGGAAGACTAAAACCCCAGCAAAGAAAGAAAGGCCTGGAGTGGCTTGGAAACAAAGGGACAAGTGTCCCACCTGAATGATGACTCAAAACCTTCAAGGCATGGGGCATGGCATAGGGGAGGAATGGAGCCATACAATTAGCTCTTCATGCATGGACCCCCCTGAACACCTGAGGATCATTAGTATAAGGTCCTCCTGTGTTTTAATAACCTTTTACATCAAGGTGAGGCGGGTGAAAGAAGGGTGGACTGCCCCGAGAACGGAGTGTAAAGAATCTGTTTAGCTTTCAGGGGCTTCACGGTCACCCCATTACAGTTTGGCACAGGGGCATGATGGTGTCATGATGGCTGCAGAGTATTTCTTTTGCCGTTCTGTTGCCTGGGGGCAAATTTCTGCCCTTGTGTTTGCTTGTATTGCTCAGCTGCCATCAGTCTGTTTAAGCTCCAGACTCTGTTTTTAAGTTAAGTTTTCATGCTTGAATATGGGAGTGAAAGAGGGAAAACAAAGGATCTCATGAAAACCTTAAACGTGCAAAACTTCTCAGATGTCAAGGTGTTTATGGACTATGCCAAGTGAATTGGAGCTCATGTGCAGCTTCAAATATAAAATCTCTGGCATCTACCAGTCACATCAGCAGCGTCCGAGTCCAGGTGTGTGAATCTTTCCAGAATATTCTCGTTAACATCTATGGCATTCTTATTTTCACTCTCTCTTTAGTCTTCCTTTTCTCCTTTGGTCTCCCAACCACAGACAACTCTAATTAGATGTGCTACTTGAACAGAGGACCGGATGCTGTCTGTAGCCCACAAAGTGAACAGTGATGTCAATGGGAATTTTGCGCATGGATGGAGGATAGTACGTGGCCCTTAGAGGGAAGGTCTAAATTAATGAGAGGCCAGGGATAAGAGCATCCTACCTTCCATCCTGTCGGCTGATAGTGTATCCATAGTCACTGTGGTGTAGAAAACTGACATTTACTCCAACCAGGGGTGTCCCATCAACTGCTACCACCTGGCCTCGAATAACACAAGCACGTCTGCAAGGGGAAAAGTTGAATTTAATGGAAGAGAAGCACAAACAGAAAGCAAAAAAAAAAAAAAAAAAAAGTGTTGACTTCACACAGTGCCTGGCTTCAGGTCAGAACACAGAATAAAATACTAAGAAATCAGGACTATTTGTTTATAACAGAAATGCAGATAGGCCCTGTTACACGACGTCTATGTGTTTCCAATAATGTCGCTGTACTGAGCAACTCTACAGACTCTTGTTAATTCTTGGTACGTTCTCTAATGCATTTCAGGATAAAACTTGTCTTGCCACTGCATGGCAGGATTAATTGATAGTGTATTGTGGTCTGCAGCCTCTTTAGCACTAGTGATATATGAAAGGGTGAAACAAAAAACACACGCTTGGTTCTCAGATTCGAGGAATGGACCTGGCACTTAGGAAAAAACAGCAAAACTGAGCTGATGCGTTAAGGAACCAGTAAGATACATGACTGTATGGAGCTTCAGAAAGCGACTTTTATGGAGGGGAGACCAATTTGGAGATCAAGTAAGTCAGTATGAAACTAGGTAAACCTGGAGGAAGCTTAAGTAGTTGCACTGTATACTTTTTTAACCCTTCAGTGCATATATATTTCCAATTTAGACTCACCCTGGAATGCTTTCAATCACGTTTGCTTACCAAGGAGATATTGAAACCTCCTGTTCTTTACATATGATCTTTGGCCACCAAAACGTAAGAGAATCTCCCTTGGTGTAATATACTGCTGCCTGGGTTAGGCAGACTAAAAGCTGGTACCAACAGAACCGACTGCAGCAAGGTATACTGAGTCTAACAGAGTCAGAGTTTGAAGGAGGCTTATTTAATATGAGGGATCAAGAACCAGATTTAAAAAAAAAAAGAACTTAGGTGCAGATATGCATGAATTAGGATTTTAAAAAGTGCATAGATGTCTAACTTCCATTCAGATGTGCTTTAGCACTAGAGGCCCTTGGCTGCCCCCATGGTCTTCATCCATTCCTGTCTCTTGTGAGCCTTTGTCTTCCAGTCATCCACCTTTAATTTCTGGAAACCTGATGCTACACCATGTAGCCATCTTCGTTCTGGTGTCCAGACAGCTTCCGTTTTACAGCATGACTCAGCCAGTGTAGTCACTGTGCTCTGATTTCCTGCATCAGAACTGGGTCTCTGTACAACTGATATAACCCTTTATTGGTTCTTATGTATCATTCTTCTGTTTTCCATAAAATCCTTTCAAAATGATCCAAGAGTATCTTGCTTGCTGGTGAGAGAATTCAGGTTTAACTGGCGTGGGTTATGGTTTTATAGAGGTGAGGCTTAATTTTCCTGGGGATGAGCTTGGATGGCAGGAGCTCATGCAATGCAAAGTAGGCTCTATTTCTGGCTTTTATTCTTCCTTTAATTTCTTCCTTTAACTTCCATTCATATACCTTTCAAAAACCAACCGAGATTGTCAGCCAGATTCTCAGTTTACTGACACAATTTCACTGACACCACGGATCACGCTCAATGTGTCTAATTACATCACTTTAACCTTTCGTTGATTTTTGCTAAACATTTTATATAAATGCCCTCTTGAAACGCATTCTCAGTCAAGACACTTATGCTCTGAGTTAAATATCTGAACAGTTTTAAAGAAGAGATGCGTTTAGCCACTTTAAACAAACAGGATGTCAGAGGAAATTGCTTTCTTGTTGTTTCCCTTTGTTTCAAATTAAAATGTCAGTGACCGGTTTGCAGTGGGTCTCTATAGAGGTTTTTGATCTTTGCAGTGATGTGACAATGAAAGATGCACACACACACGTGTAAAGAACACTTTATGTTTTTAAGAGTCTAAAAATCAGAGAATTAGTAGCTGAATCTAGTGAGAGGAATTGATTGCAATAAAAGGCAACTGGTGAGCAACCCGGAGGTAGCAAATTGAAGCTTTGACTGGTTCTAGTCTATTGTCCAAAGTGCTTTGGCAGGACATCATTTATATCTAAACCAGCTGTCCCAGCTACCCATGCTGAAGGCATGAAGCTATTACCAGAGGGATCTTGGCTGTTATAAATTAGCTCTTTCATAGGTGTCTCAAAGCCATTGTTGCCTATTCTGGTAGACTGATTTGACAGTTGTTAAGAACATCCCATTTAAGGAGTGATGTGTTGCCATTACCCGACTTCTCTTTCAATTATATTTCTACATTTAATTTTAGCTTTGTTTGATTTTGTATGTTCACGTAGACGATCTGCACCTAAATCTGATCTCATGCTGGCAAAACCCAAGAGTTTCTCCAAAATCAGCAGTGTTACATCGTTGTCAGAACCATACCCCTGTTTGTATAAAGACTGTGCTAGAGTCAACTACTTCTAGATCTCTTGGAAAAAAACAATTACTAGTTGTTATTGCTTTCTCATAAGGCATCTGCAAACTTGTCTTTTCTCTTCCTAATCTTTTCATATTGCAAATTTCTGAAGTTTACAAAGCACATTGACTTATGAGATAAAGTTTCTTTGGAGTCATCACTATTCTGGGCATTATTTCAGTATTCCTCTGTTTGTTCACTCATTCATCCTGTTCCTCATTCCACACAGACTTGCCTTTTGACTCTGCTCCTTCTTCATATTTTATGAAACATGCAGATTTCTGTGATAACAACTCATCAAAGTCTTCATTATTCCCCTTATTGTCTTCTTTTTGCTCCACTCATTCATTTTTGCTTCTCATTACTCATAAATAATGTTCAGAGACTTATCTTTCAACTCTTACGTTTTTTATTCAACGTATTTTATGATCCACACACATTTACAGTATGTGATAAAGACTCATAAAACTCATTATTCTACATGTATCTGTATTGAAATGTCTTTGTAATCTATTAGACTTTAAATGTTCTGAGCCTTTCTTTATATTGCTACATTTGTCCTCATTATTTACTGTCTTTTTATCATCCTTTTCTAACTTCTTTTGTGGCCCTCTCTCTTGGATTACCAGGACCTACAGGACCTCTTGGAATAATAGCAATTGGTTAAAATTAGTTTCAAGTTTTATGCTGATCACATGCATTTTAAGCTTTTTCAGTTCCTTTATTTTGGAAAGGCATTACATCTACCAGGGCTCTGGTTAAAAACACCAAACCAAAGAACATGAAACAACCACCTCCCTCTCCCTGCCCTTCCAAACACTAAAAAGGCAGATTCTCTCTCCTTCCAAAATGCCTGGTCACCTTGCACAGTTCACTTGCAGGGCACACGTGGTCTCCAGGGGCCTTATTTGCAGGGGACCTTGACTTTATCAGAGCTTTTAGGAAGCCGTTTCTTGCAGTGGTGTCACTTTCCACGCACCTGCCATTTCACGCTTCACCGGCTTCAATATTCACCCTATTTCTGAAGGACTTGGTTTGAGACCCTGATGCTCTTACTATTTCCATCATTTGTCATGTAACAGTGTCTCCAGAGCTGCAGCCTCCTTCTTCCATTCTCACCTTCTAACATTTATTCCACACACTCATCCCTGCACATTTTTCACTCCTTATGTTGGGTTAAAAACCAGGAGCGCGAGGCCTTTCTTTTAGCTCATCGTTGGTTTTTTTGTGATCAGGACATGACTTTTAACTAGGGAGTCAAAGCTATTCTCACTGTGCAGTAACTTCTGAGCTATTTTTGAGAGGTGCTGTAGAGCCTGTCTTCTGTTTTTGCATCCTGTACAAGAGGAGGAAAGCGTCTTTGAGAATAAGCTACCTTAGTCTCCTCGAATACATTAAAAAAAAATGTTTCTACTCCCTTAGCAGGCTGTACTAAATCTGCAACTCCAGAGGGAGCAGTTGCTTTTTGAGAGGAGGCACAGTGGTTACCGGTGGCTTAAGAGAAGTAGGATTTCTTTGTACATGTTTCCTGGGTCAGTCCACGCTTGACTGAGGATTTCATTTGGTCATCAGCCAGTTTGTATGACATCCCTAATTTAAAATAGCCATACGCTTCCATATAAATCATTCTAGCTGCATTCTTTCACTGTTTTAGAAGTATTTTGTCTTTCCATCACTGCTCTCTGTTACCCTGTATTTGTTCTTCTGTGTCATTTTCTTCCTGTTTTAAACTTCCAGTATTCATCGGGCACCTCAGACTGTGACATTAAGCTCGTACGTCTTGTGAGGTACTTCCTTAAGAAAGTTTGGGCCTATTCACAAGTGTCACATTGCCCCCAAAATGTCATTTATTATATTGTGTATTTCTGATTAAAATCTTCGCTCGGAGACAGTGAGTTTAGGACAAGTAAAGTACATTCATTTCTTCCTGCAGACAACGTTGCCCTGAGCAGCCTTCGGAGGGGGTAATTAATTTAGTGCCAAGCACTGGAACATATTTTTTGTAGGCAATTTGCAATGAGTCAAATAGCGTGGGCCAGCTGTGTGCATTAAAAAAAAGAGAAGAAAACAAAGGAGGCAAAGCAGCTTAATAAGCTTAAGGTACTGTACGCTTTAAATATAAAGCACTAAAGCCATTCCTGCTGTAAACAGGTATATTTCCATATGCCAGGAATTTACTGGGACCTCCTTTACACATTTCCTTGCTGAACGTGGGCACTTACAGGTAACAAGTAAAGTTTTGATGCAACACAACGACATACTCTTAGAGGAAACAGCTGGCACAGTCTGTGCCAAGGCCAGCTGCAGAATAGATTTCAGTCCAAGCTGAATACATTGCAGTGGTCCAATCTTGAGCAAGTGAAAGGCATGAAACAGCAGTGAGACTGTATCCACAACACCCACCCCCGTGCTCCAAAATCACAGTCAGATACAAATGGAAAAGGAAAGACACCTTGGCGATTGCTCAGACAAGATCCTCTAAAGCTAAGCAGGTATGTAAGAAGACTCTGGACCTTAAAGAAGGCGAACACAAGGCAAGCAAGCAATTTCTGCCTGGTGTATAGACATATATCTTAACCATATTTTCTGGCTGTCATCCCCAACCTGCCAACCTGAATTGGTCGTCTTTGGATTGAAACGTACTCAGCTCTCATCTGTCCTCT